TCTTTAGCATAATAATGGAGAGAAGTCTGAAATCTTCAACTTTAGCATGATGGAGAAGCAAGACAGGACAGACACCCCTGACTTTAGCATAATTCAGAGCGGCCCTTTTTGGACCGGTTTGCACACCTCTGGCATAATTAGACCATAATTACAACATAATTAGACAATAATTAGACCATTGCTGACATGTACTGACAAATAGTATGTGGGACTTTGTGATGGGAACAGAGAATTTATCTATAAACTAAGAGACCTAAGAGTGGTCTAACTTTTGACAGTTACCATAGTTATAAGGAAAGATTTGTCAGCTTCCCTCCTCCACAATATCAAACTATTAGATCTTTGGAATGTTATGATGTTGATCCTATTCAGAAGAGAAATGATTTGAATCCTAAACTTCGACATAGAGACATGATACAAAAGTGGATATATTTGAATAGGTTAAAACGAGGAACGAAAGAGCGAGAATACAGAGACTAAATGGTTACACGTGTGTCTGACTGTTCACTGTCAGTAATGACTTGAGGCAGAGTGAAGTCATTCTGAGGAAGTAAAGACAGACCCTGGATGTGGTGTATTGTTTCATGTGCAGGTGTTCTGACGCTCTTTCATCTCTCACACACTTCAACTGCTCACATCTGCCAGTGACCGGGCCATACATTTATCAAAACGTATAGCCTCATAGTGGATACTGGTGACATTTTACCTTGTTCAATCCACTGAAAAAAGAATGAGGTGTCATATGTATGTGTTGTATCCATAGTGAATATACAGATTGGACCAGTGAACCTAGACATAATGTAGGTGAAAAAGAAACTGCCCTGGTTTGGTGTGAATTTGCTCATGTATTTCCCTGAGAAAACCCGGTCTGAGTTTTCTTGTAGAAAGCCCACACACTTCCTTGATACTATGACTGCGGTGTACACACAATCATGTCATAAACAATACTCTGAAACCCCACGCTGCTCATCTTTTAGCTGTTCATGAACCTACAGATTTGAGTTTTTTTTTTCTTTTTTTTCATTATATTAACAGCTATTGATCATGTTTTGAGTGCCCACTAAATGACGAGATAGTGAAAGATTATCTGCTCTTAAAAACTATTCGAGGGTATTCATAAACAGTCTATAGTTTAACAATGTGGTGGAGAGCAGCTGGAAAATCGTTGCTATAGTAACTATGGTAACCGTAAAGAGACAATCTTCTCGTTTGAGTGTCTTCATCTTACTTTTGAGATGATTCCATTGTAATACCTGGACCAATCCACATAGAACAACAACTGCCACAAAGTTACAGAACTTTTTTGTTGGCACATATCGTAAAGTGCTTAGGGTGACCTTGGTCTGTAAAAATGTGCTATATAAATAAAGATGACTAATACTTACTTACTTACTTTTGTCATTTTGTCATAAAGTGGTGACAGCATTCACAAACAATCATGTAGAAAAAAACTCAGACATGATATTATGGCAGTCTGTGAATCTAATTACCACAACTAATGATATGGAAAAACATTTGGACATTTTCTTTTTTAACAGTTACTTCTTAGAATTTTAGAACATGAGCACGCCTAATTTTATTTATTTAATGTCTTAAAAATCCCTAAGCTTTGGAGCGCTCTTCCCCTCCATGTTCGGACTGCCCCCACAGTGGAGTGTTTTAAGTCTCCTCTTCAGACCCACTTTTATTCTTTGGCTTTTAACACTACATGAGTTCTGTGGTCCTCTGCGTTTTTATCTCTATCTATGGCTTTTATGGTTTTAATCTGTTTTGTTCCTTTTGATCTTTTTATTGTTTCATTGTTTTATACTTGGTGGAGCTAAGGATAAGTTTATTGTGCATATATTATACTTGTTTGTGCAGCACTTTGGAAACTTGATTGTTGTTTAAATGTTCTAAGTGGATTGGATTGGATTAAAAGCATGTTATCGTGCCATACTCTCTCTCTCTGCAATTATTACTGATCCATATTGACCAAAAGGCATCGGTTTGAAACAGTGTGAAGTCCATGCAGAGTGTTTGCATTAGACCTTTTCTTTCTTGCTCGTTCAGGCATTTCCTTCCACCCCTCAGAGCAAAGGCACTCCCTGTCGACAGGAAATTCTCCTGGAGCCGCTCCAAACCACGACCCTCTTCAGTCACAGCCTCTGCCAGAAATCAGGAGAAATGTGCACAGTTTGTCCCCTTTTCTCAACTGTAAACAAAACAAAACTCCCTTTTCCGGAATTCTGTTTTACTGACATTGTACGGCCGCAAGCATTACTACTGGATTCTCTATTCAAATCAGACAAGTCTATAAGTTCTCGGAAAGCTGATTTTTGCATTCCTTGACTTGGAGCCACCCACGGTTCAACACATTTATAGAGAAACGCCACATATGCCACGATGAGACGTGGTGTCACTTTGCAAATTGTCAGAGAGTCAAAGCAAGTTCACTGTACGTAACCATGGAACCAACTGCTTCTACCGCCAGCTTCTTATCCAGACTAATACAGGTTTTGCGAATGAAAGTTATTCCTCATCAGGTGCTGTTATATGGCCAGGATGTTCTTTTGCATACATACACACCCAAAACAAACGTGTGCGCATAAGTAAGGATTATTGTACACCATGGTCAAAATACCATTTGTCCTATATTCATATTTATGTTACTAAAAGGGCCCAGATAGAGCAGCGCGTCTGAACTTATTGTGTCCTTTCGAGGGAACGCACTGAAGGCCAACTTGAGGAACAGAATGCACAAGTTTACTGTATGTGTCGCCTGAACACAAGTGCAAATATGACGATTATTGTGTTGACGAGCAGAGCTTACAGTGATGTTTGTGTTGCCTCTGTTCTGCGGAAACACGGGTATAGTTTCCTCCTCTCAAGAGATTTGCGGACTTTTATTGTTTTATGTTGTCTGCTTCTATTGTGTTGTGTCTTGTCTACTTTTTGTTCTGGACTATGAGTCTGTAATAAAGCGATCTATCTCTCTCTATATATATTTACAGTAAAAGAGAGAATATTAGTGTCAAATACAACTTTCAACAGTCAACTCCTTGTCTTTGTCTGAAGCATATGTTTATCCAACAAAACAAATAGAAGGAAATTGCTCTCGCTGCACAGACTGATCCCAGGTGTGTTTGTTTTGGGTTTATCAAAATGAAGTGTCCTGTAATTTAAGTTCATTATGAGCAAACTAAACTAATCAGCCATTTTGTTTAATCACGTTTAAGATCTGGCACAGCTGTTGTGTGATGCTCAGTAGACGAATAAAAGTGTGTGTTCAGTGAAGTTGAAAAAATATGGACGGATACAGATTGATCGATATTGGTTAAAAATGAAAATCCACAAATACCCTCGATACTGTGCTCTTTGCAAATGCCCTTTCTTGTCAACACTTGCATGATTAAAAAAATATATATATTGTTTACAGTATATCATTCTGGAGACATTGAATTCCACAGTTGTGTGTTTTCAGTATAGCCTGTAATGCCACTGCCTCTCCTCAAAGATAACATAGAAAAAAAACTGCCAAGACAATTGACACTGTGTTCCTCCTCTGCAGCCTGAACTGTAAAAGCGAACCAACCGCCAGGACTTTCATCCACAACATAAAGTTTTACTGTGAGAAGCTGATTTATACGCACCACTAAAAATATTGTCATAGTTTATCGTGCTGAGTTATCGAAAAGCCTGGAGGAGATTTTCCACTAATGCACATTCACTGAGGTTATGTTGCATTCAAAAGGCATATGTAAAGAAAAAACAGAGTATACAGGGCTTTGGGTTTTTTGTAAAAGGTGAAAAGAGACGCCGGCAGAGATTCTATACTAGGCAAGACGTAGAAAGGAGAGAGGAGAAAATGGCGTGATGCACAAGGCTGAAGGAGCGTGATTGGAAGAGATTTATGTAAATGCTGTTGATGACGGTTGTCGGCGAAAAGTGCTGCATTATTTCAGATAAAACCTCCAGCAGGGATTTAGCCTTGTTGTCAAGTGGAGAAAATCATACAGAACATACAAGGCGATGTGTGGAGTTTGCATGTTCTCCCTGTGTCTACATACAGTAGGTCTTCTCCAGGGGCTTTACACATATACTGTACCGCTAAAACATGTACGATAGGTCTGAATGTCATTTGAGAATGTGATGGTCAAGATTCAAGATTCAAGATTAATTTATCATGTCCCGGTGTGGGGAGTTTGCATGTTCTCCCTGTGCCTACATGGCTCGACCTGCACCACTAAAACATGTACGATAGGTCTGAATGTCATGTGTGAATGTGATGTCGCCAGTCAAGATTCAAGATTCAAGATAAATGTATGATATCCCGGAGGAAGTTTCTCTTGGACTCACAGGCTGCTACATTGAAAATACACATAAGACAGACATACAAAATCACGGCTCAGGAGGTTCACAGACATGGGTAGGAACCAGTTCTTATACCGGTCGAGGAGTGTGTGGAGTGAATAGAAATTACCGGAACAACAAAATTATAAGGCTCTTTGTAAGACCTCGCCTGCTCGCTTTAGAAAAACAAAGATTACTGACATTCTACTGTATTGTATTGTTTATTGTAGTGTGAGATGAAAGCGTGGAGTTTTAAACCACGCATTCTGTAAGCAACAATGTCACCATACTTGCGTGCATGTTCAAGGCTTTTGTTATAGTCTCACTTCTCATTTAAGAAAATATCTGTATTCAATAGGGATCACATATGTCCCTTAAAAAGGTTGGAATTTTAAAACATTTGTGGTTGTCCCTATTTTTGACACATAGTACTGTCAACATTAGAGAGAGGAATGGCTAATCATTGGTTCATTCAAAATAGTGATGTTGCTTGAAATATTATAATGGCCAAATATTGCATGTTGATTGAAACTTGCTTCATCCACAATTCATTTCAACATCTTACAAACAACATGCAGCAAACCAAAGAAGGAAAGGCTTGAGTTTTCAGGCTTGCATACTTGTATTTTTCATCTTCCTCTGTACAAAAGTTATTTACATGCACCCACCCTGTAAAGGTCAATTTCTTGCAGCTGCTGTGCACGTAGGCTGCAGGATTTGCGTGACAGCGTCTTCGGAGCACACACATCCTCCGCTGAGGTCAGGTTCGGACACTGTGGGGTGCTTTGTGAGGCTGGGGGAGTGTTCAGGAGGGCAGGGGGAAGGCCTCCGCTGCTTCTGGGAAACCGTCTGGGTCCAATTGGCGTCTCTCTGGCCGCACATGGCTTCGCTTTAGGAGAGGAGGACACACCGAGGACCCCAGACACAATATGTAAATACAGTAAGAGACCCGGCTCAGGGGGACGTCCTCGCTGCAAAAGAAATTGACCAAAATGTATCAGTTTTTACTCAGAATGAGAATTTTTGGATGTGTGTAAACTTTGACAAGATTTACCAAGTTCAAGCATGTTCCATTTTTTTCTAATTTGAAGTGAGGAGTTTCATTCAATTCACTTACACAGATCAGAGAATCAAATAGTTGCAATGATTTAAAAAATAAATAAATAAACATATTACCATTCGTTCCAAAAGGGGCAGATGACCAATGTCCATAAATATCATCCAACAGTGAGGAAATGTCAGTGTTTCAGAGGGAATATAGGAAGCAGATCAATAGCAGTAAGATTTCCGGAAAGGTTCATTTTTGGCTGCTTGTTCAATTTGTAGTGTCTATTTTTAAGACAGTCAAAAATATGGGAACATTTGAATAATAGTGTTTTTCTGCCAGAGTCGGTGAACAGGGAATTCACAAAGTAGGTCACTTGCTTTTGTATTTATGGTGCAATAACAGTAATAAACAGTACAGGTGTTATAAGGAAGGCATGCATAAATATCTTAATAATAACATCTGAAAAAATATACACAAAATAGAGACATTAAAGTGCAAGTTACCAGTGTGAAAGAAGCACTTTAATGGATGTCACAATATTGTTTCATGTGTTTTTCAGTGGATTGCGCACACTGGGTTTTTACGCATGAATATTCCAATGCTGTTTATTTTTAACTGCAAATGGCAAACTCTGAGTGACTCTGAATCTGAAGTTATAAAGTGACCAGAGTTATGGAACCATGACATGTTCTCGGTGATGGGGTTAAAAAGTGGCAGGGGTGTTCATGAGGGAAACTGGGAAACTGTTGTGGTTATAGTATGACTGTGTGTTACTTTATAACCAGAACCAACTGGGATTCTGAGGAGCACAGGGACTGGCCTCCTGCTGGGACTGAGGAACACAGGTGCATTTCAGATCTTTTCATTCCAGGAAATGTGAGAGGCCTCTCCTCTGGCTATGTTCAATTCCAGGTAAAAAATAAATAAAAATAAAATAGTTTAGCTGTGCACACACGTTTTACTGCTTTTCCTTCTGGCAAACAATATTAATCAAACACACACCTCAACCACCTCAACTCACTATATTCACTGATCTCTGCAAATGTGATGTCTGACCATGGAGACGCTGAACTGTGTTTCATTGTTGTGTAGCTGACGTCAACACAACTATTCCATCTTGCATCTTTTTAAATGAATTGTGCTTTTCACATTTATTCAGCTGTTTTGTAAAGAACTTTGAGATGTCCTGTGTGTATGAATAGTGCTACAAAAAAAACTTCCCTTGCCTTTTGTGGGTCACGTGTCTCAAATGTCCAGTGTCATGAGGTTCTCTTTCATGACGGAGTAGGTCTCGTTCTGTCCTCACATTGTTCCCCTTTATTAGAACTCTGGAGTGGACATATCAGTTTCATCTATTCTCTCGAGTGCATGAGTATTCAAGGGAGATGTGGTCACTGAAATCAGAGTAGACCGAGAACTGCACACGTGGTGGAACAGAAATATGCAAAAGCCCCTCTTCATTGTGGTGCATTTTCTGTTTCTGTTTTTTTTCTTCTGTGGCAACATGCCTCACATTTCCCATCAGCCACGGTCACCTCCTCTGGCCCCTCTATAATTCTTCCAAACACCATCTCACTTTACTCTAGCAACACTATTGTTTGAGAACATGGATTACAGGCTGTTGTTGATATCACAGAAGCTGCAAATTTGCTGAGTTACCCACATATTTGTGTTATGGGCAGGGGCATTTTTCATATTGTGCCCAAAAGACACACAATAAAAGGCGGCTCTTGTATCAAAAATAAATAAAATAGAAAAAGTCCTATTAGTAAGGCGCAGATCGAGTTGTGCAGTTTAGAAGAATGCCTAAAGTGTTTTTCTCAGCAGTAACAGCTCACAGGGGAGATGAGGCCACTACAAAACTTTCTTAATTTGCAATTTCTTCTCCAGATAAATCCTGCAATAACCCCCCCTTATTTCAGCAGAAAGCATTGTCCCAAAAGGTCAAACGCCAAGTCACAACTATGACGAATGGGGGAAGGTTTTTCTTCACTTTGCTGACTCCAAATATCTTTCATCCCAGCACTTTTAATCCGCCGTTTCCTGTACAGCCCCTTTGACTGAGGAAAAGTCGTTTCTATTGATTACTTTTCCAGGCATCATTTAATATGATACATATTCACTTGTAAATATCGACCTTTCCCCACTGCACTGACATTTATGCCATGAATACCTTAAAACGTGCACAAGTGAAAAGGAGAGATGTAATGAAGCCGTAAATAAGGCCACAAAGGAACATTCAGAGAAAACTAACTTTGATTTGAGCCAGAGGAAGATTTGGTTTCCTTGGTGGACAGTGTTTGTGAATATAGGCCGCGGGTCACAGAGGTGATTGCAAAAAGCCAATTCAGTCAATAACAGTGAGAGGCACAAGATGGTGAACACTGCCCCCTGCTGGAGCTCTGAGGAGGCTGCAGTGGAGCATGAAATATCTGAAATACCCAGGGGACAAGGAATACTCATGGATCTATTAATACTGCTGCAATCATTTCAGACACATTTGTAATTTTCTTATGCCCGTTATATACGCAATTCCATTCATTACGTTCTCAATTCATTAAAGTACTAATTCACATGTACATTAAAGAATTAGTACAATTTATTTAAATATGTAGAGAACAACGTAGTTATGAGTAATATAAGATTACCTTTTGTAATCCCACAGTGGGGAAATGTCAATATTGCAGTGCATGAACAGGATAAATTATTTTAGAATATGGGTGTACTAAATCTAGTGTAATTGCAAGTATTTCACAGACAGAAAAAGATAATTATATGTTCATTGTGACTCAAGACGTGATAGAAATAATTTGTTTTACATGAATGGCACCACACTGAGCATGAGCAGCACTCTCCACATAGATGTCACAGAGCAGTGATCAAAGGACCCACATCAGACCTGCTGCTGCTCAAACAGATAGAATCTTAGACATTTCGGGTTATTTTAGCTTTTGAAATAAAGACTCGTGTTGTGTTTCATGTTTCTCTGTTGTATTTTATTTTGACTAAAATAAATGACAAAAATTCTTAACTAAAAAAAGAAAAGGTATTAAGACAGTAGCAACAGAAAGTGAAACAATGGAGAATTCAATGACACAAATCAGACATTAGCTCAATATACATTCAAGTATGTACAACGCTCATAAATAAAACCAATACTCTAGACTTTTGATTGTTTGCCTCATCATTACTATATCAAAAAGGGAGACTATGTGGAGGCACAAAATGTACAAACAATGTACAATCGAACCAGAATACACCGGCAAATCTATTTTAACAATTTTGGCCAAAAATCTGACAAAGCTTTCATTTCGCGCACGTGAAAAAATACACTGCCCTGCGTCTTTGGGATGCTTCTGTATTAGCCAATACACAATTACAGGACGTGATAAACGGAACTTCTAACAATTATAGCTGATATAATTATAACAATAAATCTGTTTTATGTAGCGCTTTTTTGGACACTCAAAGAAGCTTCACAGGTCATTCTTTCACTCCATACACGGTGGTGATAAACTACTATTGTAGCCTCAGTGTGCCCCTGAAGCAACATCGCAACAAATCTTAGGTTAAATTAAATTGACAAATGAAAACGACGTTACCAGAAAACAAATATCTGGTAATGTTTGGGAAAAAGCACGAGTTATAAAAAGATAGGAATAGGGAATCACTCTCGCTAACCAGCAGCATTTTCATGTTCAACATAGAGCACCAGGCACTAAATAAATCTCAACTTAAGTAACTAACATTGAAGGTGTGGCATTTCAGGACATACAGGAAAGGGTTCATTGGATAAACTTGTGACAATCCCCATGATGCACCACTTTCCCTCCAGAGTCTCGCACACATAGCGGCCTGTTATTCCTCTAAAGTGAAGGAACCGAAGACTTTGAGGCACGTTTATGCAAATGGCGTGGCGGCCCCAGTCCAGGCAGCTGGCACCTCACCTGGAGCAGGAGGTCCCACACGGCAGTCCGCCCGACAAAAGCGCTTCAGTTTGGGAAACAGACTTGCCTTTCATTCCTCAGGAGAAGGAAGTTTGTTTAGAGGAAAAAAAAAAAAAGTATCTGGAACAATCTACTGCGTGGCAAACGTTTTAACAGAGCTATTTTTGAGTTCAGTCTTTGGGTTGTCAGATGAATTGTAATATTTATACAACCCCGTAGCAATTTTGACGTCAAAATAAAGCCTTTTCCAAAATAGAATACAAGAATGACTGGAGTTGACATAAAAAGCGGTAGAAAATAGCCATATTTGAACATATTTAAGAACATTATAAATTCTTGTCACACAAATATTTTGGTTTTGCATACAACCGTCAGACCTGCTGAGATTAAACCAGGTGTACGGGATATTTGCATTCCTGTTTATGTAACTCTAAAGAAAGGCTGAGGACCCTTGAGCTCCGAGCACAAATAAAGCCAACAGAGAGAGACAAAGATCTCCACAGGACTCTGAATAAGTCTCCTGCTCCGGCCCTAAAACAGTCCAGGAGCAGATTTAGTCCAAGAGAGTGAGTATGTGCTTCGTCAAGTGCAAGTGATTGGAATGAACAACGGCTCTAGTGCCTCTTCATGGACGACACCTTCTTCTTTCTGGCTGCAAGCATCTCATAGAAAGGGTCTCTGCTGATGGCAGCTCTGTGACACAATTTTTTTTTTATTTTAACAGGATGACATATATATCTGATACATAATCATTAGGATCAGTGAGGAAATCGTCCTTACTTGATACTGTTCATCCATTCATCCTTTTCTTCTGCTGTTGGAGCGGAGATTCGGTAGAAGGTATGGTTTCCCTCGACAACACGACCATCCGCCTCTGTCTTACACGCCTTTATCACCTGGTCCTTGTTGTCGGGAATGAAGAGCTCAAAAGAATTCTAAAAGAAGAATAGAGTTGATCATTTGCTTTAACAGCGGCGCACCGTGTTAACCAACAGGGGGCGCTGCACTTACAGGCTTCTTGTCTTCAACTTCTCTGATGCTGAGGTTTTCTAATGGGATGATTCCTCTGGGTTCTTTGTCCTGCGCAGTAAAAAAAAAAAACACACACTCATTAGTCACGAGCTGCGAACACAAGTCATACGTGGCGACGCAACACACTTACAGTTGTATATTCAAAGTAGTAGAGGCAATTGTCTGTGAGGATGAACCATCGTCTCTTCCAGGTTTTTACGCGTCCCCCTGTTGAGCGGATAGCCCGGATTAGGGGGTTAAGCAAAAGAGGAGGGGAGACGGTGGAGATGGAGAGATGAAGCACCAGGCCGGGTAGCAACAGGCAGACAGATGTATGGCCAGACAGACACAAACCACCCTCTCATTAGATCCCACTCTAAACATATACCTCCATGCCCTCATTATGTAGATCTTTTTTTGATCTGTTTGTGTTCAGATTACTTGTATATGGGCTTTGATAAAATGTTTAAGCCATGCCAACATAAGGGTCTTTAGGGACTCTAGGGCTTGCATTTTGTCCCGAAAGGAGATACCCGATTGCTACCTGTGGAACACATTCTCCCTGCCATTGTAAACTAATACTTGAAACCCCAGGGCTACAAAAAAGACATTGAGGTTTTCCCAGACTACACAGCCCCATCACCGGTTAGTACAAAACCCAGCCACCAGAAAACTATATGAAACTTGTACACACACTTTTCTATCATATAGCAACTGTAGGGCTGCATATGATGATAAGGTTCCTATCAATAAATCTAATGTGTAAAAAAGACATTCAACAGGCAGATTTCTACAAGATAAATGCAGACAAACACACAGATGAAACGATGGCAGAATCACATGTTGAATAGTTGATTGGGTTGAAAGTTTTTGAGAAGCTAATGGTCAAATCCTGCAGCAGCAAAATAATAGATACCTCCTCCCGAGCAACAATGTGTGGAAAAAGATTTGGGGTTCCAGCGGATTGTTGCAGGGGTGGAGATGGTGCTAGGCTGAACAAGAGCTGGAAGTTACACTAATATTACAATTTTGAAAGCACCGTTTTAACATTTTGCATCGTCAGGCACTATGGTAATCAACATCTAGTTCAGCCTAGCATCCTGCTGACCACAGCCACAACGGTTTACAACTTTAGATTCTTATTAGCAAAGCAACAAGTTGTAAAGGTGCAGTATTCCCCTCCATGAGCAAACAGAGCCAATTCAGTTCCACGACGGAGGATTTTGCAGTGCTCTCTTGTATGGAGGAGACATAATGCAGCTTCCACGCACTTCAAAAGAGCGACCACCAGCGCACACAGAGGAAAAAACGGGTCTAAAGTCCCCAGCGAGTGGTCCGAGAGTGGCCCCCTGAACCAAACCCTGGCCCGTGAGTGACAAAACCACCCGCTGAGATAAAACACTTCGGACCACCAGCTCAATAACAGGCTACATGTTTGAAGTTTAGATTGCACAAAATGGACACAGACAGTCGACAAAAACAACAATAATAACCCTGTATGGAAAAGAACAAAAGCATGGCAGACCACCAAAAGCACCGGAGAGCTGAGGAAATGGAATAGCATTAAGAACAGGTGTACATACCTCCTGAGGAAAAACAACAGCCAAAAACATGGGAACAAACAAACAAACGAAGAGGAAAAGAAACAAAAATCATCAAATTAAATGATAAGGAATTACAGCACCACAGTTCTGTTAATCTGGTCCATAAAGGATTTCATTTAATGCTTCACAGCTCAGACAAGTCCCTGTAGTTTAAAGGCAGTCCACAAGAGGGCGCTGCAGTGATTATAAAGGGGTGTAATGAGCTGTGACGCATTAGATCAAATATGAACCGCATGTTATTTACTAAACTAACTTCCACCGTGATTAAGACTCATATTATAGACTTCTGTTACATTGTAAAGAGGTTGTTGTATCGATTCACAGAGTGGCGGGCAACACATTTCCATAAATTACATTATAGTGAATCTGAACAACAAAAAGAAGGTTAGGAAAAACAGAAATGTGAAGGAATTAAAGTAGTTTTCTTCTTGTAAAGATTCTGAATGGGAGACTATTCAGTTCAACCACCTGATCACAGTGCAAAAAACATGATTTGATTTTAGCATGTTATTACAGGTCTGCACAAATCAAAACCTATGAGCTAAATAATTAATATGATTCCAAATGTAGTGGTCTGATCTCAAGGCCACATTTATTATACATTAAAGAGGGCAGATGCCTTCTGAAGTCTCTCAATGCGCACACACCTTCCACATACACATTCATTTACACATTGTGAAGAAATTCCTCCTTAAAAGTACTTGAAAACAACTGACAGAATTTGAAATGATTGCTTTTGTTAGTTAAAAACAAAAGACTCACCCAGTTTGAGTAGCCAGCCCTCTCTGTCAGGATTAAAGAAAGTGTGAGTGAGGTCATTGCCGTCATCTTCAGGGATTTTAAACGGCTCGTTCTTTATGCTGTCATACAGATTCTAGATACGGAAAGACAATGTAAGTTGCAACATACACAAAACAAGAGAAATTAAATGGGGATGATGAGAATCCTGACCCGGAGCAGGTCTTCGGGCAGGTCTCCGCCGTCGTTGATGCCTCGGTTCATTGAGATGAATCGTTCCACGGTCGGTTTGTCTTTCACGTTTGGGTTGTGTAGACTGGTGTTCAGCATAATGATGGCAAATGACAAGATGTAACACGTGTCTGGAACACACCCAACACATTTGGAAGCCTTATTTTTATTATTGTATCAGCCAAAAGTATCTGGGTAGCATATCTACAGATCTCTGATCTGTTGTTCACAAATCAACAATTTCATGAAGTCACCATCACCATCACCATGTTGACTGATGTTTTGATTTTGAGCTACACAAAAATAAATGGAATTTAATTTAATGGAAGCATAGAGGCCAATTGTGTGTTTAAATATGAATGTAAATGAGTGACGGGGGCTCTTTAGGGACAGCATTATAGCAATAGGTAGGAGGGGTCAGGGGGGTGAGTGTGGGCAGCCGTGTGCATGCATGTCTCTGAATATGCACTTTATCTGTGCTGTTGGACTGTGGAAAAATGTCATACATTATTCAAATCCATCTGCATCCATCTAAGAGCCAGTCATCAACCTGATTGTGGAATTATTTCCAAAAGCAATTAACATTCCTGTGATACAGTGTTCTTTGGGAGACCTAATGTCTGTTGGATAGGCAATTAGGCTTTATGCAAGACACAATGCCGATCATAGAATATATATATATTCTTAAGTAGCGTCATCATACCAGTGGACTGGAAAACCCCAGGGTTGCATTGACAGTAGCGCTGAGCAAAGGCCTCCATCATACGGTCAATCTTCTGAGCTTCTCCAGGAAGACGAAAACTCCACAGGAACTGTCTGAAGGGACAGAAAAGAGCCATCAGGGAAATCAAAAGTCATAGTCCTCAAATTATGCAACCAAGGGGAAAAGTACCTTAAAGCCTGAACAAGGTTTAGATCTGTGAATTCATGAAGCTCCACAAATGCGTGGAGCACCTCAATATTGAAGTCATCTCTGTGGGGCAAGAATGTAAAAAACAAATGAAAACAAAGAATTTGAAATGAACTCCTTTGTGCCATCAGCCCATCTCCTTAATGACATCATCATTAAACTTTATACCGTTCAAAGTAAATGATATGTCCTGGGGGATTATAGGATAGATGGATATCGCCAATACAAGTCATATCCAGGCTAAATTCCCTGTGGACACATGACCAATCACTCTCACGTTACCATAATAACTACACTCAGTATCACATCCTCTGTCTGAGAACACAGTTCTCTGGTGATATGAGGCACATGGTCATTAAATAAAACAAACATCCACCAGTAGAGTAATCCAGGACAAATATAGACTCTGTAAAGTTCATCTAATGAACTTAAACGTTTGGGAGATGAATCTTTCGCACACGGCACATTCACTCTGTCCTGACCTTATGAGGCTGGACTAAAAACATGCTCCAACAAGAGATAAGATGTAAAAGGGTTTGTTCTGACCTCTCTCCAAGGTAATCTCCGATGGCCGTTTTGTTAAGACCTTCACCTTTGTAGAGGAACTGAGCAATATCATCACTCGTGTTTTTTAAAAGGTCGTTCTCGATGAGGAACTGGATCCCCTGTGAAGCAGAACAATACAGCTCAGATCCCGAACCGTTTCCGTTTCTCTACAGCTAAACTCATTACCTTTTTGGGGTCCATGTTGAATTTTTTTCGGCCCATAGCCACTTGTTTATTCCTCTGCATATTTTTCCTGAAACATTTAGTAAAAATCATGATTATGACATCTAAAGTGAATGTCAGTAACTATTTAACTATGAAGAGAGAGTGAAACTATTTGATGCCAAGACCCGCCCACGCTCACTCAGCCAGATTGGTAGAAATTAATTCTAATCTTTCGTCATTGGTTTAAATATTCTCCTCCAGAAAATCTTACTGGTCTTAGTCATGCAACAGGGCGGGACCATTTTAATTATACCACTGTTGAAAAATCTAAACGATAATTAAAGTTGCTGACATCTGACTATAAAGGGTTTTGAGGTTTTAAAAAACAAAAATGAACTATCACTATGGTTACCCCTCTACTTCAAAAATAAGAGGTATTATTCTGATGCATTTCTTTGGCTTTGTCCCAAACATTGAGCGCCTTAAGTTCTGTGAAGGTGAATACATCAGTGAGCTCCTTCCATACAATGCCTTTGATCAGACAATGCACTGGCAGTCTTAATGGGCCCCGGATCTATGTGAGCGTTTTAGAAAGATTCTGAACTGATAGTAGCTCTCGACCCGGCTGCGCGGGGCCTCTCCTGGGACCACGTATTGTCTACTGCTGCGTCTACACCCACTGCATTATTGAAGGTGGTCTCCCATGATGGGGGTTTGCCTGATAAAACATTTAGTGCCTTAAAAGCATCGCCAATTTGGGGAGGACCTGTGAAGGGATTGGCTGGAGTCAACAGTCACTCATGAATAATTAAGCGTCTCATTTGCTAAGTTAATATTGAGAAAACTAAATAGCAGTGTAGAGTCGTAGCCTTTCTTACCTCTCCTCTGTGGAGCCCAGGTTCTCAATCTCACATGTGACTTCTGCTATCTCATCCTTTAGCCTCTGCGAAAAAACAAATACAGCGTTGCATAAGTGTTTTGTGGAATAATTAGGTGACATTTCAGATGGTCACCGGAGTCTATGAGTAAAAGCGGTAAGAACGAAGGGTGTGACGGATGCAAACAACATGCATCTTCCAATAATAATAAAAAATCTTATGACAAAACTTTTACGCCGTCTTTTTTCCCCCAGATTCTGAAATGAATTACATGGATATAATTCCAATACTAAACATAGTGGAATGACATAGTGGTGGATTATAATGTATTTTAATAGAATAATTAACTTAAGTGAAGTATATGGTAGCTGAAGCCTGGATCACTGGTGCCAGGCTGAATTCATTCAAACGACTTTGAGGGATGCAAAAAGCAGGACATAAAAAATGCACAATAAAAGATTCTATAATAATCAGTATTGAGCTTAGAGTGAAGATAGAGTAGACATCAAGACCAAATGCAATTGTTTATCTAAATTATAAAATCTTAAGCAAAAAGTGGTAATTGTTGCCTCAAATGCATCTTATTGAGATCTTTCAACAGTATACCTAGTCCTCTGACGTAAAACTGCCTCCGACATTAGTCAACTCCTGTGGTGATTTCCGATCAGTGTAACTGAGGGTTTTGAAAGAAAGGTGTCAAAATAACCTGTTTGTTGTATTATGCCTGCGTCAATTTGGAGTCACGTTATGTGCCCTACATAACATGATCCTGTTCTGTAAAATGTGGTAATCTATGACCCCTGTGGCTCTAAATATATGGTCCCTATGAAATGATTATATTGAAATAAAAGTATTGCAAGAATATCAAGACTATAACGTGGCCAAAAGTTGAAAAGGTCTTCGAGGTCTGGTTGACAATCAGACCTTGTAGACCGATAAATGTGAATTTCCCTGTAGTTTATGATATCTCTTTATCCCAAAACACAAAGACAACATGTGTGCTTTAAACCCTGCGTAATCACAACACATTCCTCAAATTCTTGGCTTCTCAGACAAAGCCGGAGCTCTTGCCGGACAGTGGGTGGCAGAGTGTGGGGGGGGGGGGGGCTTGACATGCGGGAACACTGCTGTAGGAGGAGGTCCGGAGGAGGACATGGGTCAGTGTCAATCTACAATGAGGGGAAGAGAAGGGGAGGGGGTTGTGGGGGAGGGGGGCTGTTGTGGTGGGACGGACTCGTAAAGAGGTCCGGTGTCAGGTCCCGGCCCCTGGGTGAAGACATCTGTGTTACAGCTCTGTGTTCTTGCCTTGTTCTCACTTACAGGCCGTAAAGCCGGGGTGTCAAATCAGTCCTCAAAGGGCCGGTGTGGCTGCAGGTTTTACTTCCAACCCGAGCAGGAACACAGACTCCACCCATTTCCTCAACTCTTCAGGTTAAAACTGGACTCACATTAGGAAATGGGTTTAGTGTGCTCCTGCTCAGGTTAGACCTAAAACCTGTAGCCACACCGGCCTTTATGGGAACCTTTACTTTTTAAGTGGACCTGTCCTAGATGCTCTAATCTTTCCAGAATGTTCTATAGATAGTGGTTTATAATTAATATCATGAATGACTTGGTGCCGTCTTTAACTTGATTTGATTCCGACAGCATCTACGTTCTCATCATCCCCTAAACTCATGAACCTTGGTAATGATCAAACTAACACATTTTATACTTAAAAAAATAGCACCAGACATTTATTTGAATAAAAGTAAGTACAACAGTCAGTGGTCCTATGTAATACACAGTTTGTATACTTCCAGCAGGTGGTTTGATCTGTAATCAGTGCTTAGGAGCTACATGTGTCACCGGCAGTACAACAATAACAAAGTCATAACTTTATTTAACCACTAAGTGCAGACTACATTGACTCCCTTTAAGTAGCTGCAAAGTAAACAATGTTTTAAGAAAGTATTATAATTTATAATTTCACATAGAAACTTTAGCCAAAGTCTTACCAGTCAATTATACTTCAGCTCACACATTTACAAACACTGTGTTTGCCAAGTAAGTCATACCTTGGCAGGAAATTCTCTAAATTCCTCCTCAAGAAAATGTTTACAGAGAACTCTAAATAAGGCAACAGTTCATCAAAACAGCTGCAAGCTAAATGAATAAACTAAATGCAATTAAACATCCATTCATCTGAACATTTCCTTATGGAGTTAGAACTATTGGATCAGAAATATGCTTGTAAAAATTTCAGCCCAGAACAAGATTGCAGTAATTCAGTAAGAATTAACTTGCAACTGCTTTCAGGTTTGCCTAATAACCATTACTTCATCTTCCAAATGCCCTTAGACAGTTAGATCCACTGCCTTCTATTACTATGGCATGTTTTTGCTTCTCTTCTCCAGTACAGGACTTGGGCCGGTACATGTGGCTTCTAAAGAGAGATTGATTGATAATTTCTCCAAAATGTATTTTACCTGAATATCTTCCAGCAGCTCCTGTTTACGCCGCCGGATATTCTCCAACTCCTGCTGCTCCTCCGGGGTGAGGTCGTCCGGCACTGAAAAATCACATCAACAAAATATAAGTTATAACGATATAAGAGACAATTGCCTTCTATTCAATAAATATCACAAGATAACGTTGCTTCTTTTGGATCCTTATCATTTAAAACAGCAGTGGTCAAACCTGGCAACATGTTTAAGTAAAATGAACAGTCTAGGGCCTTTAAATGCTAAGCTGGAGTTCCCACGCAGCACAATGTGACAGGTCTCAAAGCACCTGGCTGTCACTCACTCTGAACGTGGCTATAATTAGGTTTGTCTGAGCAGGGGACTGAAGGCGAAGCAATTTGACCTGACGGATGGGCACGCTCCAGCCCTTCAAAACCACAACTCGATAACAGTGTTGAAATGGTATTTGTGCAGTCAGGTAAGCAATACAGTACACATTATTTAGAAATAAATAATCAATAATACAATATAATCAAAACACATTGAGGACCGCACAATACTGAATGGCTACAACACAAGCTACTGTTGGTCTCTACATACAGCATTAAACTATTCTTTGTCAAATAAAAAAGAAAAATGATCTGCCCGGGGTAATGCCTTTAAGGTTTTCAGTTTTCAGAATGTTGGATTTTTAGAAAATGCTAATACGAAATGCAAATTTTGTTAATATAAAAATCAAACACACTGCACCTCACAGGAGGTGCAGTGTCCTCACTTCAGCTGCTGCTCAAGTTCATTCTGTTCTCTGATTACATGGAGCACGAGCAGTGGATGACCCCTGTGCCCTGCACATCAACCTGCAGCACGGACCAGAGGTTAAACAGCACCACTGATGGTACAGGCCCCACAGAGGCCTGTACCACCATTGCAACGGGTCACCAAAGTGACACGCACCAGAGAGACAGATTATTCACCTTTTGCTTACGTATATCATATTAAATGTAATTATTTACATTCTTTACATTCTGGATGTTTACTTCATAATGCAGGTTTGGTCACATGCTACAGAACAAAGTGCTAACCTAATAAAATAACAAATAGTTAATTAGATTAGCACAAATAAAGCAGTGATTGTAGAGGATGATAATGAATGTTTTAAACCATTATTCCAAATCAAATTCTGAAATGACAAATATCCCAACAGGCCCAACAATGTTTTTAAGGACAACCATTCGAAGTATGTGTAAACCATAGGGCAGACAACGCGGAGCTGAGAGCAAGAGGCCATTCCTTTTTGGAAACATGATGTCAGGTTGAGCGACTGGAGGACGCTTTTAGACCCACAGACACATGGGGAGATGTCAGACCCAACACAACCACAGCATTCCAGGCTCAAAGGACAGCCACAAAGTGCAGCGCTGGTGGGTTTGAAGAGCCGGAGAAAGGACTATAATTTAACGTCACGGAGAAGATAGAAAACAACATTATCATTTGAGGGAAGATATAATCTGTTTGCTTTCAAGAATGCAAACAAGATAGATGAGCTAAATAACCCCTCAAAACTCATATCTATTCCTGCTTCTTTCAATGAGTCTTGTGCACTTGTTTTCCAATCAACACGGTTTTAAAGAAAGGTGTGACAAAAATAACAGCTATATTATATGTATATTTTAGTTATACATACATTAACCGAAAGAAATAATTACATTGATTTTCGTCAAAAATGTCCAGACTGGATATAAGCAAGGGAAAAGTTGAATGACTGAATGAAAAAAAAAAAAGAAGCGATGATATTAGTCATGTACATTTAATGAGTCATTCACTTTACTAAGCGCTGATGAAGGCTGGGAACTCTGCCGAACTGTCACTCGCTAAAACTGCACTGGCAAACGAAAAGATCCAGTCATCAGAATCACGAAGTGGGGAGACTGATAAGTTTCAGACATTTAGATAAATGTTCCCTGGTAAAAAAGAAAAAAAACTTTTGCTTTAATTGGTCCATTTGAGTACATTTTGAATGCCTTAAAACAAGATAGATTTCCATGTCATTAGAGAATATTAAATGCAATCTTAATTCAAGTTCTCCAATACAAGTGAAATAAGACACTATGAGTAATTCTTGTTTTAGGACAGTCACTTGGAGTTCAGTGTTAATGTGTAGGTTTCTTCGAAGCAAACCAACCTAGAACCTAGCCCAAATAATGACGCACGTGCATTTCAATGTAGCAATAAGAATGGATGGTAAAATCCGGCTTCAGTTTATGCATGTTAATAATAAAAAAAGCACCCTTTCTGCTAAATTTAGGGAGGCCAGATCAGCGCATTGCCACTTTCATCCACTGGACCTTATCATTATGGAGTGGAGTTTAACCCAAATCTCTCTAAATAGTCCATGTTCTCCACGCCACATTCTTTGAACCAAGATTATTAACAAAACGCATCCATTCCCCTCATATGGACCTTTTGAAAGTGGTCTAAAAGTTGGCCATGCAGAGCTACTTTTAGTAGATTGCAGAGAGAAGATGCCATCGGGGAGATACCAATTATAGCGCTGTGTCCCATGGCAGCAGATCCTACTAATACTTGTCCCTATTGCCATCCTGGCAGAAGACAGACATCTCATTTCCACCCAGATCACTGAGGAACTCTCCTTGGAAAATGAGGAAATTAGAATTCAGAGCTTGTTGAGATTATAGTCCCAGTTTTGCTGCACATGTGGCCTCATTTAGTATACGAGCACAAGTCACCTATAAGTCAAAAATCTCCCCACGGTTGCCCCATATGTGGAGTACACAGGTAACGCTCGATGGATGGTAATTTTTCAACAACAAAAAATTAGGTCAGACTTATGTCTGCATGGATCTTCAGCAGATGGGATAAGTCAGGGAATGTGTTTACATTTCCAAGATGCATAATATCAGCTGACGGAGGCAATATAGAAGAGCGTAGATGTATAATCATTATACAGTCATGTGTCAGAAATATAAATTGCATATTGGGTCTTGATATGTTGACTCGGTATCAAGACCCATGGAGTTTGCTTTTGTGATTTAAATATTTCACTTATGTTTGGTCAATACTTTGTACCTATCATATCTTTCATATCTATTCATATCTTCCTACAATTGCCTAAATTTCACAAATATTTACGTATATTTTGTGATACAAAAAGACAAACATTCTTCTCCAGTACTCAAAGTAGTATCAGAACTATTCCCATCTGAGCTTGTATCACTTAAAAGATTGAATGAATAAGACAACATAGTTAATAATGTTGGACTAGTTGACTGCATTATACCTACAGAATATTTACAAATGGCATGGTACCATCTGGGCATCATAAAGGCTACAGCATTGAATGTTCTGTGAGAAAAGGGTTTCACATTTTATTCTGAGAACACAAGCATTGGAAAGAATCCAATTTGAAGTTCCTATTGACCTGTAAGTCCAAGCCAATGAAGCATATAGTAAAAACAAAAAGCAGTCCACCCCATGATTAGGTTTAATGCATGCAGCACCAAACAAACAATCGATAAAGTGGGAAAAATAGAGAGACAACAGACAAAGCACTCTCTGGCGCACCAAGGTCTATTAAATCACTCTAAGCTTTCTGATTTCCCCTGCTTTCAGCTCGTTGATCAACCGAAAGCCAACTGTATCGGTCTGATCTGATTGGAATCTCTTTTATTACAACAAATCCCCGAAGAACAATCTCTCATATGGTTTGATGGCACGCAGATTTCAGCAGCAGAGTCTGGATCAGTGAAGAAAATTAATAGCAATCTTTAATATAATAAACTCTAAATAGAAAAGTATTACTTGAAAGCTTCTAATAATTACCAAAAAACCCAAAGTTGACAGTTCTTGAACCTGAGAGGTGGCCATTGAAAAGTCCTAGTGATCAAGAAACCGTGGGGTAGACAGTGGGACGTGAGTGGGGACGTTCACAGCTCAGTCTTTGTGTGTCAACGCCATCACAAGGGACATTCTTGGAGAGGGCCCAGTGCGGCGAGCACCATCACTGATTTGACAGGGGCGTCCTCCACTGCTTACAAGTCACATGGTCAAATTATCAACAACATGAAGCCCTCAGACTCAGCACAAACAAACAGACACTACATTGACAGCAGCAGACTTCTTCCTGTCCATTACGTACACATCTGGTCCATTAGAACACAAAACATAGCTGCCAAAGTCCACTATAGATTAACAACACATTCAGTGAGTTAGCGCAATCGTTTTCTTTAGGTTAAAAGTGTTTTGTTTCTGTCCTAGAACAAGATAAGTTGCGACAAAGGCAAAACAAGACTCCATAACTGACCTCTATCCAAACTATCTTCTACTGACACTTCTGAGATCCTTCGTGGGACATAATTAGTTCCGTCTTGATGAGATTAAAGCGTAGATCCAGGAGCCCCCATGTCAAGCGGCAGTGACTGAAGTATACAACGCGGTTGACATCAGAATGAAGCAGCCGGCAGAGCGCTCCTTCCACAGGATCCTTCCTCACCTCCTCCCTCCCCTCAGCGCTCCCCCTCAGTCAATGCTGGTCATGCTGCTGGTAGACTGAAGTGAGCTCCACCCAGTGGCCTGTCTCTGCCATATACAGACTTATCCATTTTTTATGTTATGTGGAAACAATATGCAAGAATGGGACCTTTGCGTACATAAAATTAGTTATTACATTATAAGTAACATTAGTTAAGCTCAAATTTTAACAGTGAAAACAGTGATACGCATTCTAAACAACTTCAATGATCAATGGGCCAATCATGACTAGGCGGCCAGTCAAATTATGAATAATATTTGGATGCTCAATAACTCAACAATACAGACATACAATGAGACATTAAAAAAAAAACATGTGTTCAAAAACCATAACAAGTTTTTTTACTTAAAATAAAAATTGCTACCTAGTCAACTATTGGGGAGGACAATACATCTAATCCATGCAAATATGAACCTAAGGATGGAAATCAAACTCATTCCATGAATTGTTATACTTTTGGACATGACACACTATCCGCCTACATACCCTTTCCACCTCTAAAAAATTATGACTAATACTTCTTGGATAGATTAGGTCATCTGTAGTTCAGGTGGGACT